GTTATGTGCAAATACTGTGCCATTGTATGTAACGGACTTGAGCGTCCTTGTTAGTATCTGCAGGTTTCCTGGAACCAACCCTCCCATGGATACCTGTGGATGACTGCATTATTTGAATAGGGAGAAGAACTTAAGGACAGGACAATGGAAAGTATTGAGGCTGAACCCTAGCTGGTTTGGCTCAGTGGCTAGAGCATTGGCTGTGGACTGAAGGGCCCTAGGTTCGATACTGGCCAAGGGCAGTTCCCTTGGTTGCAGGCTTGATCCCAAGCCCCAGGTGGGGTTTGTGCAGGAGGCAACCAATCAATGTGTCTCTCGTACCTCAATGTTTCTCTCTCTCTCTCTCTCCGTCTCCCCCTCTCCCCCCTTCTACTCTCTGAAAAGCAGTGAAAAAAATATCCTCAGGTGAGAATTAAAAGAAGAAAAAAAAAAAGAAAGTATTGAGGCTGAGAAAAAAAAAAAAAAAAAAAAAAAGACTGAAGAAAAGCAAACAGGGAATATATGGATCATCTTTCAGTGGAGTAAAATATGCATCATAGGGACTGGGAATTGAACTGGTGACCTTTTGGTACATGGTTCAACGCTCAACGAACTGAGCCACACGGGCCAGGGCAGGAAGTTTGTACCTTTTGAACACCTTTGTTGCCTGTTTTTATTTCCTCCCAGTGAATGGATATAGTTTCCTGTTTCTTTGCATGCCTCCTAATTCTTTGTTGGATAGTAGACATTTTAGATAAGGTGTATTGTTACTCTAGGTACTGGCCCCCCTTCTTCAGGGCTTGTTATTGCTCTTTGTTTGCTAATTTGTTTATTGAGTAACTGGATTGTTTTAGTAAAGTCTGCCCACAGTATTCAGTTTCTGATATTGTTCCTCAGGGAGGTATTGTTTTGAATATGCTCATAGGGTGGGATAATGTTTTTGGTTGGGCCCACTTGCTCTCTTCCCTGACCACACCCAGTTGTTAAACTCCAATAATTGCCAGCTGATTGCTATATTGATTTTAATAATACCCTGGGCTAGAGATTGTTCTGAAGGAATAGTTTCTGAGGTTAGTGTTTAATTTTTGTTCTGACAACAGGAGGGGTCCTCCCAGCCTTCTTATTCCCTGGTACTCTTTTACAAACAACTTGCCTAAAGTTCCTGTTTCATAGTAAAGTTAATTTTGATGAAGTCCAGTTTATCATTTTTTCCTACTATGGATCATGTTTTTGGTGTCAAGTCTCAATACTCTTTTCATAGCTATAGATCCTAAAATTTTCTCCTATGTTTTTAATAAAAGTTTTGCATTTTATATTTAAGTTCATGCTCCACAGGGTGTAAAGTTTATTTAGGTCAGTGCTCCCCACCTCCAATTGTTTCCACTTCATTATTTGTTTTACCTATTCTGGGCCTGTGCCTTCCATATAAATTTTAGAATAAGCTTGTCTTTATCTACAAAAATTCTTGCTAGGATCTTTATAGGAATTGCATTAAACCTATAGAAGAATTTGGGAAGAACTGACATCTTTACAATATTGAGTATTTCAGTTCATGAATATTAAATGTTGCTATTTGTTTAGACCTTTGATTTCTTTCATTAGCATTTTGTAATTTTCAGTAAACAGATCCCATACATATTTTAAGTGTATACTTAAGTATTTAAATTTCTTTGAAGTAATTGTAAGTGACATTGTTTTAAATTTTAGTTTCCACATGTTTATTGTTAGTATATAGAAATGTGGTTGATATTTGAGTGTTCATGTTCTGTCTGTTGTCCTAGCTGAACTCACTTAGTAGTCCTAGGAGTTTTCTGTAGGTCTTCAGTAGCATTTTAAGGTTTGTTTTTAAGTGTTTTACCTTTTTACTTTCTATTGTGTTTATTAGTTTCTCCTATAGTAACCAAATATTGTGGGCTTTTTTTAGGGTGGAAGCTGTTGATATTCTTATATTAATTTTATACCCAATCACTTTGATGAGTTTTCTTATTGAAATTTTTTTTTTCAGTTGGTTCTTTTGGGTTTTATAGCTAAAGTGTGATATAATGGGTAAATAGTTATAATTTTATAATTTTCATTTTTGCCTCTTGCTTACTTGTCTATAATCTCCAGGACAGAGTTAAATAATGGTGATAAGGGACACCCTTACCTTACTTCTGACTTTACCTTAGAGTCTTAGAAGAGCTTCATTTTATCGTTAGAGAGAATGCAAATAAACTAAAATGTATAGTAGATTATAGTTCTCCCCAGTGTTCTCATATTGGGCTGTTTTATTAAATCTTTGGGAACCCGAGTGTTGACAGAAATGTTTTTTCTTCCAACAGTTCTATTGTTGAAACTCTAAAATATATTGGTAGGCCTTTCTGCTTTAGAATATGTAAAATGGTGAATATAATTAAATTTTTTTGAATGTGGAGATTTTAAAGTCTCTTATTTTTTTGTTCATTCTTTTATTGTACTTATAAATTTAGAAAGCATTGTTGTTAGGACTATGTGTTGATCTCAGCCCTTTCCTGGAAATGGATTTTTTAAATGTCTTTTTATTTTAAGGAGAATCCTTACAGATTCTTTGGGAAAACTTATTTCTTGTCATTTGCGTTCTGTTTCTGAGTTGAAGATTACAAAACAATTCTAACAGCATTCCATTTATATTATCCTAAATGAGCAACATGCCTTTCTATACGTAGCTCCTTCTCATGAGAAGTTCATTGTGGTCATAGTTCAAGGCTGCTTTGCAGAAAGCTTTATTCTACTTGCTACGTTTGATAATAAAGATTTTGGTTCTTTAGTAAACTAAAGGACTTTAGGATTTGTTAATACAAGAAATGTCCAAACCTTCAGAGAATTTTTATCAGTTTATTTAAGCCAAACTGGTTACAGTTGCCAGGAAGCAAGATCTCAGATACTCTGGAGAATGCCAGTTTTGCAGTTTCTTTTATACTTTGAAATTAAGGAGGAAACATAAAGATTACCTGAAGGTGGGAGAAAGCTAGGTACAAGATAGTAAGATGATTATTTGCTCCTTGAAAAGTCTGGAAAAGAGGATTATGTTTGGCATCTCAAAGGTGTATTAACCTAGAAACACAAGAACAGTGGACAGGATGACTTGCTTAAACCTTTCTGTAAAGAAATTGTAGGCCTTGGAGCATGACTACCCACCATGACCTGTCCAGTTAGGAATTTATGATCACATCACTCTGTAAGATCACTTTACATCACTGGACTTGGCTGTTTTATTATAGAATCCCCGTTTTGTCCACAGGTTCAAGTTCTTTTCTTTTTCCCTAGTCTTAATTTTTTGAGTAGTAGAAAGCACATGAACTTCATGTGGGCCAGAATGACCTAGATATAAATCCCAGCTGCTCTTTATTTATAGGCTAATGGCCTTGAACAAGTTACCTAATTTCTGAGCCTACTTTCCACATCTGTAAATGAATGCAAATCATTAGCATTGTTCCCTCTTTCAGAATTGGAAACTATTAATAGCATAGTTTATAATCTCAGTATTATAAATATGCTTGCTAAATGCTTATGTGATAGGCACATGCCCAGGTTTGGTGATCCTTAAAGGTTTGTGTTTGTTATTGCTCCCCAAACTTTGAAAACACTTAGAGAAATCCTGCAGCAAAGTCACATGATTTATGAAACTAATAAATTCTTAGTTTAATTAGAATTCTTGGACTAAATCTTGTGTACCCACATATATGAACACTAAATACACCTTTCACCTTTTATGGTATCTAGGCCCTCCCACTTTTCCCTTCCTCTCTTTTCCCCTAGTAAGAACTTTGAATCTCATGGGATTTATAAGCATAACATGTACCCTGGCTCCTTCCTATTTTAGTATTTCTAGTTGGATTGCCTGTCATAATCACCTTATTTGGATATGTAACTAAATGTCTAAAATAAGCCTTTGGCCCTGACTGGTATGGCTCAGTTCATTGGAGCATCTTCCCATACACCAAAAGGTGGCGGGTTCAGTTCCCAGTCAGGGTGCCATACCCAGGTTGTGGATTCGATCCCTAGTCGGGGTGCATACAGGAGGCAACTCATCAGTGTTTCTCTCTTTTCCCCTTTCTCTGTCAATAAAATAATAATAAAATAAGCTTTTGTACTATGAATTAAGAGGTAGAAGGTCAAGGACTTGAAATATTGAACTCTAGGAAACTTACTGTAATCCATTTTAGAGAGATATTGATGATTTCTAAAGTGTTTTTACCACTTAAGAACATTAAATATCATCTATCGAATATTCATTAAACAGTCATGCGTATAGCACTTTCTAAGAACTCACAGGGATATAAAAGTATGCTCTGGTCCTGAGTTTCTTTTCTTCTAGGGTAGTCTAGTGAGAGCTCAAAAAAACTAAAAAATATTGAAGTGTCAGACATTAAACAGTTTAAATGTAAAACATTACCAATAATATATGCTATATAAGTGAGAGATTTGGTCCTATTTATTTCATACAGAGTATGGTGAATTTTGGTTTCCTTACCCGTGAAATAGAAGTAAATATACCTTATAGGGTGGCTATTATGATGTCTAAATGAGGTTGGATATGTAAAACCTAGCTATAATGCATAAAATCCACATACATTTTTTCTACAGTTACGTATATTTTTAATTGAAAAAGTAATGTATAGTATGTGGCAAAAATATGCAAGTAGAACAAAATGAAAAGTAAATCTTCTCACTCCAGATCCTAGGTCCTTCTCTATGTATTTTTGTACCAAGAGTACAATTTTGAATATTTTCCAACAATTCTATGTACATACACAATTATACATTTTTGCAATACATAAGTGGGAACATATGTGTTTTCTTGATCCTGTTTGTTTTATTTAAAAATAGATTTTGGCAATCTTTCCTATCAGCAAATACAGGCTTTTTATACATTATTGTTTTATTGTTACTAATGATTGACAAGTATTTTATTGTTTGAGTGTATAATAATATAACCTATCTCTTCTCCCAGTACTCAGTGTGTTTAAAATATGTTAAATTTAAAACCTTCCTCTCTTTAGGGTCAACTCACTATCCTGAAAGTCCACCCTCCCAAGAAGAAGGTACAGAAAGAAAGACCTCTTTGTAGGAAAGGCTTGTGTATCCCATGAACGAGACAGCGAAAAACGGATTGGAGTGCAGCAGGACTCCAGAGCCAGAAATACGGCTCAGAAAAGGACCCCAACTTGATGGTACAAGGAGAGGTGATAATGACAACTGCCAAGGAGATTTGGAGCCTGTTTTAGAGGCATCTGTTCTTTCTACCCATCATAAAAAAGTAAGTTGAAGTGTTAGGATGGTAAGTAAAACAAAAATTTATGAGGGTGTGACTGGAGAAAGGATGGAGTTTTGAAAAGGAACCTTGAGCACATTTGTAAGTTTTTGTTCAAGATAATTTGAAGCCTCTTATTAAATCAGTTAGGTATTACTTGATTTCATAGTCATGCCTTTTCTGATGATGCTTAAAATCATAATAAGCTTTATCTTGTTTGAGAAAGGAAGTGGGTTGTGTAGTGCTTTAGTGGTGACATTATTGTTTATATTTTTGGAAAAATTCTGATTGCATTCTGGGAATACTTCTGCAGATATGGTTTATTTCTAGTGCATACCTTGGAATTCAGTAGAGTTCTGAGAAGAGAAGGCAGATTTTAATCTTTCACTTCCCAGAGAGAAGAGCAGCTTTTAAATTATTCAAGCAACTATACCTATTGAGAACAAAGGTAGAAATATCTATAAACAGTATCAGAAAGTCATTGCTATAGACATTTTGCTATGTTCTTTGGAACCTTGGAATTATGTAGCATGTATTCAATATTCTGGCTCTAGTACATTGTTTCTCAAATTGTAGGTTGTCCCCATTAGTAGTTTGTGAAATTAATTTTGGTATTAAAGGCAGTGTTTAAAAATTAAACAGCAAAATAGAATAAATATTGAGCTGTATGTATGCAGTAATATACATTTAAATAAACTCTTATTTGATGAAATAGTTTTATATATGTGTGTGCGCGTGCGCGCGCGCGCGCGTGTGTGTGTGTGTGTGTGTATGCATTTCTTACTGTGAGTCTTAGTTAAAAATATTTCGAAAACCTTTACTTGAAACTGGATCTTTACCAGTATTCTAAGAGAGATGCTTATTATATGGGTAATAGTGGTGCTGGTTTCAACTCTAGAGGGTTGTCTTGTCTCTTGAGATCTTTTATAAGAATTTCACCAGGGCTTTGTAGCAATATAGGCTATTGTGACAAGAAATTTGAGGTCATTATAACCAGTAAGTTTATTGCTTTTCTCTGTTGTTTCCTCCATATCTCTTATTGGCCTCCTTCCCTGCCCTTGATTTACTTCTTTCTCTTCTTGTTCCATTGGCATAACTTTATTTTTTTTCCTTTTTCTCCCCTTTTATTTTCTTCCTGTCTTTTTGTTTGCCTTTTTATTTTATATTTATTTTTTTCTTTTTCAGCCATTTTCCTATTCCTATGCTCTACCCTTATTTTTTGCTCACCCTTCTTTCCTTTCAGAATCTTTTCTCTGCTCCTTTTATCTCCCAGTAGCTTCTGTTTTTTACTTTTTATTATTATTATTATTATTTACTATTAGCAATAATATCCTTTTTTTCTCTTTTTGCTTTAGCATTTGTGTTCTTGTTTCACTCTCTCAGTTCTACTTTCTCTTGGATTGTTTTCATTCTGATTATCAGGATATTGTGTAAGTTACTGTTTGTTTCCTGGCAGTGTGGTTGTGTTTTGTTTTGCCCTGTCAGCACCTGTACAACAGCTCACACAGCCTGGTTGTGGCTGAGCCTCACAGCCAACCTGAGAGGAGAGTCCTCTCATGAATGGGTTAACAGTAATCTAGACCCAGTCACAATAGGAAAGCCCAAAGAACCCACAAAAGGGACATGCCTAGAGCAAATAGCTCAGAAGTATAAGGAAAACACACCTCTGGGTCCCACTGGACATACACTACAAAATCCCACCCCACAAGACTGGGAGACAGAGAATATATCTAATATACAGATACAAACAGCAAGAGTCACTAAAATGGGGAGACAAAGAAACCCCCAAACTAAAGAAAAGGAAGATTCGCTAGAAAAAGACCTTGATGAGATGGAGTTAAGCAAGTTATCAGAAATAGAGTTCAGAGTAATGGTTATAAAGATGCTCAAGGAAATTAATGAGAACCACAAGACACATTATGGGAAGGCCCAAGAACTTAGTGAAAGCATGAAAAAAGAGCTAGATATGATAAATAAGAACCAGGCAGTTTCAGTGACCTGGGCTCAGTGGGTTTGATGAAAAAAAGATTCAGAGTGAGCACATTGCCTGCCCAGTCCTCAGAAGGGGTTTTAAGCTTTTCCTCCAGATCTCAAACGGTAGTCCCTAAGAGTCTTAGGGTCTTGTATTGTGGTCCCGTGAGCTGTTTTCCATTCCCCTTCAGGACTGTGCCCTGCGGGGGATATCAGGCTGCAGTGAGCTGAACCAGCCCCTTTCCTGTTGGAGGTGGTGCTCCTAGTCTGCGGTTGCTCAGTTCAAACTCTCCACAACGCAGACACAGATCCCAACGCAGACACAAATTTCCCTGGTCTGTCTCCCCAATGCAAGCCAGGAAGGTTGACACACCCATTCAGCAATCAAAAACACACAAAGCAACAAACATGCAGAGAACACGCCCTGTGAGATCCTGGCTCCCCCATGCCTTGGAACCAAAGTCAACCCCATGCAGGTCTCCTGCACAGCTGATCTCAGTCAAGCTGGGGCAGCTCCTTGCACGTTATGCCAGCTCCCCTCAGAGCTGGTCAAAAATCTCCAATTGGCCCACTGGCAGCTCCTGTCCCTGTCTCTGGCAGCGGGAGGGCTTTCTTCCCCTTTCCCACGCCACACAGTTCAGATGCTTTCTGGGGTTCTACACAATGCCGTACAGGAAAGCAGAGGGTCCCTGTAGGTTGCTGCTGAGTCCAGCCCTCTAGCCCCTTTCTGTTCAGAAGTCACATCCTTCAGGACAGCCTCTTCTGCGGGCAGCTGCCAGGGTGAAACTCTCCTGCCCCAGCTGCGGCCTTTAGGTGCGTTGTTTCACTGGGAAGGCTCTACTCCGGCCCCTCCTTGAAGGTGCACTCTTCCCCTGGCTCCCTCTGCCCGCAGTCCATGGGCAGTCCTTCCTACTCCTCCACTCCGGGTTTGAGATCCCAGCTTTTGGATGCCAGTCCACACTCTCAAGGGGAGCTTTGCAGCCTCTAACCCTGGGGCCTGACAGCCCCTCACTGGCTTCAAGGGGGACTCCCCTTTTGCTTCTCCCTCTCTTACCAGTCTCTATGATGTTTCTTCAGTGCTCCTTACTCGAAATATGTCCACTCAGGTATATTTCTTTTGTTTTTCCAAGCTGGCTACGCAGTATTTTAGCTGTAAATCCAGTCCATGGCTGGAAGCAAGGGCACACTGCTTCTTGTTAGAGTGCTGCCATCTTCAATCCCTGAAAACCTGTATTTGATTTTCCTTTAATCTTGGAGCTAACCCAAAAGCCAACAGCCTGAACAAAAGGAATCATTTCTTTCTTTCCATCTGCATTAACAGATTTTCTGTGAGGAATCAAGGAGAGGATCTGATCCATAGATTGTAGAATGTTAGAGCTGAAAAGTGAAACCATCTTGTTTACCAATGAGGATATTGTGTTTTTGTTCCTGATGAAAATTCTTCTTTGTGTGTTGTTTCTCTTTGGTGGAAGTTCTTTGCTAAAAAAAAGAGAAGGTGGTTTATGAAGAGACAAGTACATCTGCCGTGTGCTATGGGAGGTGGTTTCAGTAGGAAACTGATTGGAGCATTTAAGCAATGAAATCTTTTCTTCTTCTCAGGCCCTTCCTTGGCCCTTCCTCTCCATTCATTGCAACTTCTGCTCTATATTTAATCTATATACAGTACTGTCCCTTGCTACTAATTTCAGGGTATTAGTGTAGAATAATCGTGGGAGCTAGAAAAGAAAGGGGTTACAGAAAATTACAATTTTGAGACTGAAATTAAAGACAGTATTAACTTATATCTTCAAGTGACTCGAGGAGTTCCATATACTGATTTTTTTTTTCTTTTTAGAGAAAGGACTGATTTCTTACAATTTCCAGTTTTGAAGTGGAACTATTTGAACTGTTAGCAAGTAGAGTGTATCCTTCTACCTCATTCTAATAATGCCTTAAATTTGTATGTAGCGTTTCCATAGGCATTATTTCGTTTGCTTCTCAAAACTGCACTCTGAAATAGGAAGAACAGATATGATCTCTGTTTGCAAGTGGATGAAAGTAAGATTTAGAAAGCTTAGAGCGATTTGCCCAAGGTCACATGGCTAAAAGAGCATGTGCTACGCCTTCTGACTGCTCTTCCTGCTGAACAAAGCTGTCTTTGTGACAGCCGGCACCAAGTTGACTTTGTGTTTCTCAGTTCCAAACTCTGCCCCTGAGTGTTTATGTTGAGCCTAGAGGTTAGATTCAGCGGTTGGTACTTGTTTTTTTGCTGGAATTGTTGCACACCGTATTTTCTGTTTAGCCAGGTTAATTTTGCTTCTTAGGTGCATTCTAACCTTTTAATGGATTTTCTGTTTATTTTGAAAATAAACCTAATGTATCATGGTGCAGTCCTTCATATTTCTAATGATTTTGCATCATTTTCTTTGAGTATTTGTTTCCCTCTTCTTAAGATGTAGAATTTAACTAGATTGCATAGACTTAAAAAAAAAAAAGGTAGTTTCCTTTAGACTCTCTAGTTGCATTAAATGCCAAGTGTGCATAGGATAAAAATATAATAGGAAAGCAACAGTGGTGTTTTTTGTTAAAGTTACAAACAAGTTAAATGAAATCCTGAGTTTGTAAAAATAAAATTTAAAGGTAGTTAGATGCATTACTGAGTGATATGTCTCTTTGTACAAGCGCTTACCAGCAGGTTCCTTTAAGTCTATTAGGAGTTCTTATCTGATGACCTGTGGCCCTTTAAAGAAAATAAATATACAAATGCCAGGTTTTTATTCCAGAACTGTTGAACCAGAATCTTTGGGTCCTGGATGTATATATTTTTAAAAAGCTTCACAAGTGATGACGATGTCACTATTGTTTGAAAATGAGTGCCTTAAGTAATTAGTTCTGTTTTATTTAAAACAGTTAATGTATTAAAAACTTCTCAGGAACATGCTTTACAAAAAGACAAATCTCTACATGTCTCTGAAGAATATTTGGGAAATAAAGTTAGATTTATTCGTTAAAGGAAAATTCCACATTTATTCACAGTTGACTTAAAAAATTGAGAT